TGTATCTAAACCTACTTGAGGAGCATAAACACTTATAATATTAAAAATCTTAGTATCAATGATAATCTTAAGGGCTATAATTCTATCACCAACTCTATTAATTTTTACAACATTATCTTTCAAACTCTTATCTATAATAACACCTACACCATTTCTAGTGCGACTCTTACCAGAATACCAAAGTTTAAAACCTAAATTATCAATCTCCTTAGCCTTTTCTTCAACCCACTTAGTTTCTTGAATACATAAGATATTAATTATCCTATGAATCATAATATCAACTAATTCCATTAATTTACCATTGAGAGTGCCTATATTCCAAGATCATATCCTAATATTAGTTTTTTTAGTTTCATGGACTAACTTCTTTACCCGCATTCGCCCGTAATGTGAGAACCCTTGTTTATTTAACACTACATCCAGGCGCCGGTGTAGCGGCCCTTGCACACTTTTAACTATATTCAGGCTATACCAGGCTATACAGTGCGTCGCTTCCAGGGGACGCCCTAGCACTTACACAATGATCAAAAGGATTCAAATTTTATTATCATAGACAAGTTTTACGTTGGCTGTCAATTTAACGCTGGCTGTCGACTCCCTAACGCAACCCTCCACTTTTCGCATTTGGGCTTGGGACCGGCAATGATAGTGTTAATATAAGATATATAAATCATGCTAGAAAAATTAGCTTTCACTGATTTCAATATGCTTGGGAATAATTTTTTTTAGTAATGCTATCATTAAGTACATGAATTTAAGCCCAAGTGATCCATTTTTCTCATCCGGGCTTGGGACCGGCAACGGCTAATAATTTCATTATAAATGATTATTACAATTGCAATCACTTCTCCCACAAGTAGAAAAGGGTTAGATGATCTCTTAAGTTGCAATGTTGACGTGCGAAAAAAATTTGATGCATGGAACAGGTGGCGACCAATAAAATTTGTTGCACGGAACATTCTTCTTTATAGTAAAGCTGGGCTTTACCCTCATCTTTTCCTAAAGAAAAAAAAAAAATCTCAACACTTGTGGACTTAATGTGGATCAGCCGATCTAATCTTCTTTCTTTGTTGGACCGGCTTCCCCACCCACCGTGATTTTATTTATTTATTTTTATTTTTTGGGAAAATGAGGGTCACGCCTAGCACTAATGTAAAAATAAAAGTAAAAAATACTCAATACTAATAAGAGACTATGAAAAAAAAAAGAGAAAAAAAAAATGCACTACATGGTATATAATAACAAGTAAACAAAGAATTGATCTTCATCACCAACTCTCCAACATCAACGTCAAACTAATAATAGAGAATCAGCAACACCACCAATCAACAAAAGCATAACATTTTAGCAACAATAGGACTGAAGAACATGATTAAGAACCAACACCAACTTCAACAGGTAACTAATCTCTCATTCGAAAGGTAAGATCATGTGCAAGTCCAGCTCCAAACACAATAACCTCCCATCCTGGGTGATTAAACCCTCATAATTTAGGACACCATCACCAACTATCAAGAGATAAGAGAATAAAAGGAGAAGGCAATAGGGATCTTTTGAGTAGAAAACAACTCTCCAGCAACAGCAATGGTGCTGAGTGAAGGCCACCTCTATCTGAGAAAGAGAAAAGAAAAGCTAACTGCCAAACTAAAGAAGCAGAATAAGGAGAGATCTTAGAAATACATAACCCATAGAAAACATTGTGAAACATTCCAAGCAAATGAAATATAACAAGAAGAACCTAATATATTCCAAATACAGTTGAGTCACAATGTACCATTGGAAATCATCATAGCTCAAGGTCAAGATAGTAAGAATTGAGCATCAAAACCTAGAAAAGAGCTAATCAAGGCAATATTTGAACCCGTTAAAAAAATATCAGGTTTAGTGAGACCACAAGCAGCAAAAAACAGAGGTAACCAAACTAGATAACCATCAAGCTAAAAAAATAGACAAAAAATCCTTCAATCCATATAGGATTTCAATCCATGCAAGTGCTGAAATGGAAATATTTTGATTAACCTTGTAACATAAGTGAGATATGTATAAATTTCTATTAATTGAAAGAGTTTAAGGAAAATAGAGAGACAATCTCATATGCTAGAATGAGTAACATAAAAACGTGATGGAATGAGTAACTTATAAGACCATAGAGAAACAATCTCATATGCTAGAAAAGCTCCACATAACAAAATACAATTAAATCTAACATGGCTTTTTCAATTCACTTATGATAGTCTATCACATTTCCTTTATATTAAAAGTTATACTAGAATTAAAAATATCTAATGGTTTCACTCATATAACCTAATACCATTTTTTATTTTTTGGATCTTGAATGTAGAATATCAGCTCCACTTGATTTAAAAAAAAAAAATAAATGTTTCATGCTCTAATTTTTCACCAGTATGAATCAAATGTGAGAAGTCTACTGAAGTTAGTTTAAAGTGGTCTCTATTCATCCCAGTAGTATTTGTGTTCACCCAATCACATTTGAATAACATGACTCGATATATATTGGAATAACTAATGTATAATATCATTCATTCGACCATAATAATTGGAGTCACCAACTTTTGTGGTATTGACAGCATCATAATTTTTATTTCTCTTATTATTATCATATGATTTGATATAATTTTTTTCCCATTTATGTAAAATTTAGTTTATCTTTATGCAATCAAATTAATACCTATTGCAAGTGTCTTAATTTCATCAAATAATAAAGGATTGCTGGCACTCATAGCCTACGAAGAATGCAAAACTTCATCAAAAAAACAAATTTATGTTTGAAGCAATCATCAGAACTTTTAGAAAACTTCTTCATTAAACCACATATAAAATCTTCCATACAAGATTTTCAATGTCTGAAGGAGTAAAATTTAAATGTTTGTTTCTCTTTCCAATTTGCTCCCTATTAATAAAGACTTCTTTATAGGATGTTATACTATCACAATGATGTAACACCCATTTATGAACTTACACCAAAGATTTTTCATCTAGCATAAATGTTATAATATTTCCCCAAAGAAATTGCTCCAGTGAGAAATTTATAATGAATATGTTCTTCATTAAAAGGCTATTTTGTGGTCATGGACTTATGTGCTATCTGAGATCCCTCTAAATATCTAGAGCAAAAAAAAAATTCCTTCCTTTGCTATATATCCCTCTACGATTGACCCCTTAAGTTGTACTTGATTTCCAACATAGTCTTTAAGTATCAAGAAAAATTTAATGGTGATGGTTGTTCAAGTATCTCTATTTTTGCCAAGCCATGGCAAATGGAACAGCTTGGACAACCTATGCTTCTACAAGGAATTATTGTGTTCATTTGTTGTTGGTGGAGGGAGTGTGGCTTATCTTAAGAACTATGTTTTATTCTTATCTGTTGTTGCCTTGTTGCCTGTTGCCTTCATTTTTTTCTAATGGAATTTTGTGCTGTTTTGATTTCTGAGGTTCATTAAACTGATTTTTTCCCTTGAATGTTGCGAAATCCTTGCCTTGTTGCGGTTTTTTTTTTTTAATTTACAGGTATATTAAGGCTTTGAAAACTTGAAATTTTGATAAATGAAGATTGGGATTTGGAAGATATAAACAAAATGTGGAATGTATTTTTCTTTTTGTTTTTAATATAATAGATAATTAATTTTTTTATTTTTTATTTGGTCTAGCTCATTTGGAGCCAAACACGAGCAATTCAAACAATTCAAAAAATTTGAGCCGAATTCAAACAAATTGAACTGAACACAAACATATCTTTTACGAATGATTTCAAACACGATTCTATTTCAAACATAAGTCATTTCATAAGAGCTAAACAAGAACAAGAGCTCAGCTCGCCTATGTTCGATTTTGTTTACACCCCTAGCTGTCACGACTCGACTTGGAGCATCGAATTACCAAGGTGAGAGCTGTCGATTGGATGGAGATAAACTATTAAGCAATTTTATTTCACAAAATTTATATTTATGACCGTTTATTCATATTTAAACATTTACATCTAGTAAAAAATAAAATTGAATTCTAATACATATCAACCTACACCCTTTGACTTCTCTACATGTACTTCCGAGAGTCCATCTAATTTAAAGTTGGGTTTCCTATAAAATCTAAATAACTAAGAATTGAGTTAAAACTACTCAATGAGTAAATGATTTTATTTGACGATTATTCTCAATTTAAAATATTGATGTAAATAGTAAAAGGACTATGTATTAAAAGAAGATGATAAGAATTTTTTTTTTCATTTATTTTTGTTACACATTTAATTATTAGTCCAAAAGTATATTAACCTTTTCTAACCCACAGACAGGTAGGCAACTACATTCATCTATATTTTCATTTTCGTGCTTGAGTTGAGTGCATTCCTCCTCCAGTATCATCTAGAGGTGACGACTTTCATATGCTCATCTAGAGGTGACTTTCATATGCATGCATATATCATATTTTATTTCTTTTCTTGCATTTAACATTTAGTTGTCCAAATTTCTTTTATTTTTCCAGCTCTATTAATGTCTGAGTTTGTACACGTTTCATCTAACTTTTGAACTTGCTCTGATCCTCCATGGACGTCCTTTGTATGATTATGTGGCTATAACCAGAGTTTTGTCGCTAGATCTTTTTTCACTTCTATGACTTTCTGCAATTGCATGGGTTTGGAGCACTTGCTTGAAACTCTCAGAATCAATGAATTATGAGCCAACAACTTGCTTCATCATCTCTGAAACTAGTAGTTAAGAACCCATCACTGCAAACTTGAGGATGAACAATGTTTATGCCGAAGCAATGAGGAAATTTTACGCCCGGACGGCTAACCGTCGAGTGTCACGTCGTCATATATGTCGGTGCCAGGCGACATGACACCCGATAGTTGGCTGTTTGGACGTGCAGACGTAATATTTTTTTTCCAAAACCATCATGCACTAATGGAATGATGGCAGTATTCCTCCATGTGATGATTAACACAGATACCCCGTGTGAATTCAATGCCTTTTTGTTGGCAACTTTGGTAATGACAATAATCTCAACTTTATCATCACCGTTGCAATGCTCAATCATTTCATTTGCATCAACATCACTTGCGAGGAACTTGTACACTTTGGGAAGAAGTCACGAGAACAAGACGAGTTCGAGTTGGCGGGCGAGGAAGGATGAGATATGCGGGCGACTGTAGACGCCAGAGGAAGAAGAAGACGTGCGAATATTACGTGTGGTATTCGTATGTGCTGATCGGTGATATTGGAGTGTTATTCAGCACAATACCACCAATCCGCACTCACGTAGTATAATTGTTGTATTCTTTTGAGGAGGGTTGGCACACACATAATAAAAGAAGTTTAGGTGGTATATAGGTAAAACAAATGTTTACCATGGTATGTGTGTAAGAACCCAAAAGTAAAATTGTTTAAAATTGTTTGAAGGCTTTAATTAAAATTTATCAAAATTTGATTTCCTTAAGTATAATTTCAGACAAGTAAAGCAGATTCATAATCATTGAATTTTGTATTATAATCAATATGAACCAATTATGATAAACTTTTCAAAATCACCCTAGCACCAGAGAATTGAAACAATGAAATTTAATTCTCAATAAGAAAAAATATTCCGTCCGGACGTCCGCACGTCCAATCACCAACCACTGACTGTCATGTCGTCTGCCGATGATTTGTATGGCTACGTGACAGCCGATGATTGGTCATCCGGACGTGCGGTGTCCGAACGTAATATTTCCCCCCACAATTATAAGCTATGAAAATGTTGCATATGAATATATGCAACATTAGCAGTTACAATGCAAAATTACAAATTTAATCACCAGCAACTATAACCATCACATCAACAATGTATGAACCTTAACTATATTTTCATTCAAAATAAAATAAAAAATGCAGATTTAATTTTTTAACTCTCCCTCTCAGTAATTTCCAACGTCTTTAACTTCCTCCTCCTCGGCTTCCGGCGGCGGCGGGAGGTTCAGATCAACCATGAACCCCCTCTCTTCTCTCCCACTCAATGCCGTCTCTCCATGTTGCCGACGATGAACTCTCTGATGAACCCTCATCCCATGATATGTTGCAAACTGTCGTCCGCACAGCGGACAAACAAATGTCCTCCCATCTCCTCTTACTCCTCTCAACTCCGCAGCCGCAGCCGCCCCCGTCCCCGTCGTCGTCTCCTTCGCCTTCGCGCTGCATCCCATCACTCCTCTGTGACTTGCTCTATGCCCTCCCAATGCTTGTCTTGTCCCAAACACTCTCAAACATTCCCCACATGCATACTCACCGGTCGTCGCCGCCGCTGCCTCAGTCGTCTCTTCTCCCGTTCGTCGCCGCCATTTCCTCCTTCCTCTCGAACCTTCTTCTCCCTCCGCCGACGGCCTAACTCCTCTCCATTCCCTCTCAGGATGACATCTCATGTGCCCAAACAACGCCTTCCAATTCCCAAATTGTCGCCCACAAACATAGCAATCCGCTTGCATGGCCAAGGATTTTTGTCCCTCTTCTTCGACCGCTACGGCGGTCATGGTGGTGGCGACGTCGGTGGCAGTGGCGGCGGCGTATCTTGTTCTGTCAATGGAAGAGAAAGATGATGACTCAGACGATGAAGATGAGGATGAGGACGAAATCTTCGGCCGTTTTCCATGACGATTGGATCCGGGGGAGTTGGAGGAAGGATTCATGGCTTGATTATTTAAAAAAACAAAACAACAGAGTCTATGTTGAATTGACGGACTAGTGTTATTGTGAGTGGGGGGAGATGCTACCTTTCTGCAAATGGATGCGTCCATTGATTTTTTAAATTAGTTGGCTTTTGGCGGTTATTAGTGTAAGGGTGTTTTGGGGGCTGTTTGGTTTGGGGGTAAATTGGGCATAAGATTAAATAAAAACGGGGCTTTTAATTTTTTGTTGTTTGGCATCTGATTATTTTCCAAGTTAAAAATCTCCGCGTTAAAGGGTATGTTTGGCTCGACTTTTTTTTTTTTACTTTTGGCCCGGCAGCGGCGGTCTGGCGTCGAAGAATTCGACCGGGGGTGTTTGGCTGCATGATCGGATTTACGTTAACTAGGATTTATCGAAGCAAGATTTCTGACAAGCTCGTGAGTAGCAACGTAAATCCGGCAAATCCGCTTCTCCGTGAGATTTAGTAAATACAGATTTGTAGAAGACATATCAGGGATAAATTCGGATTATCAGAGAGTTGAATTTCGTTTTCATCGTTTTTTTATTATTATTATTATTATTTGCATTTGGTAGGATTCGAGTTAAATTCATGGCTAAATCATCTCCTGAATAGGATTTATTAAATTCAATAAATCTGAATTTATCAAATTCATATCCCAACATAAGAATTCAGAATCAACTGCAAAAATAAATCCGACTCATAATAAGATTTACTAAATCTACATTTATCTCATTAAAATGAGGAGGAAAACAACAAAACACGAGAAAATTGGATATAAAAGTATTGGATTTTTTTTTTTTTTGGTGTTTGGATGGATTTAAGTTAAATTCATTATTAAATCCTATCAATAGTATGCAATCAAACACCACACGAATATCTTTTTAGAGGACACCGTATGCATTTCTGCATACGGTGTTCGATTTCCACCGTTCATCACAGCAAATATGTATTGTTTTCCATGGGCCCCCTTTTTTATTTTTTTTTTTTTTAGAGAGGAGCAGCGCAAAATTACTAAATTGCTTGGACTATATAAAAAAAATATTAAATTTTACAATTATTTTTTTAATTATTAGGCCCTTAATATTTTAGTAGTATCATGGAGAAATTAATATTTTTATTCTTAAGTATAACCATTGACCTTAAAATTGTGCTGTGTTTTGTTTTGGAGATTATTTAGGGTTTTTTTTTTTTTTTTTTTTTTTTTTTTTTTTTTTTTTTGACTTATTTTATACTACCAAATGTGACAAATTATTCATATCTATATTTAAGACTAAATTTGTGATATTTTAGTAAAGTTGTTTTATATTTATTTGTTTATTTTAAATAAAGTTCAAAATCATTGGTTTTATTTTTTATGGAAGACAAAAAAAAAGATAGAAAAAAAGTATTTTAAGCTTTTTATCTATTAAATATGAACGAATGTGATCAATATTAAAAAATATATATTTAATTAGATTATATAAAATAAACATATCGATGTATTTTATCATTATTTGTGTTTGGTTAGAACTTGTTTGATTTTGAAGTAATATTTGATGGGATGTGACAATAAGGGTCTGTTTAGGATAGCTGGTGTTAATTAATAAACTGATGAAAAATATTCTATTATTCAAAAAAATGCGATGACTATTACAATATATATATATATATATATATATATATATATATTTGAAAAATAAGACCGCATCGAGAAAGTTGCTTCCGCACCTAGCCAGGAACGATGTGAAAATGCTAATTTCAGCAGTTTGAAAATGTAGCTTTTTTTAAAAAACTGACAAAATACAGTTTACCCAAATGAGTCTAGATGTGTTTTCAAAATGCACCGCACCAAATAATCTGCCTCAAATGGGGCTTAATAGGGTTATAAAGATATCATGCATATTAAATATTTGGGTCATTTTTTTTCTTATTTCAATTGATTGAAATTGGCTCATGTTCAACTCAAACTCAAAATCGTATGAGCCAAACAACAAAATAATATTCACAATTAATTTCAAATACAAGCTATTGTAATTAATAAATATAAATTCTAAAAACTATAATATGATTAAACCTTGATAAAGTTCTTCACATTCATAGCTTTCTTAATTACTACATCTTATGTCAATTTGCATTATGGGAATATCATGGCGGCGAAAGCATAGTTCTTGCTCTGTCCATGTTCTTTCAATCTTGGTCGTATGCTTCTTGTCAAGATGTTCGACCTAAACTAGCTGGGATAAATAAATCAATAAATAAAAAAAATTAATTTTTGTATGTTATACCTTATGATAAATATTAAATTAAACTAAATTTGAGTAAACTCTTTATTTGTATATTTCAGAGTTATAAGAATTTGTGTGCCTATTTTACCTACATCAACTTTAATTAAACCCTTAATTTAATTTTTTTTTAATGGCTAATAAAAAAGAAAGCTTTAACATCTGTCTAAAACCCTACATTCTTCGCCAAATAGTCGATGCCTCGAACTGATCCCTCTGGCTTCGATCGTAAGGAAACAAGACAGTCGTGATGCGATGCGTATTGGCTGGAAAAGCTGTTAACAAGAACCAGAGATGTGTGAAGAAGAAGGAAAGTTCATGAGACTTGGAGATTTAAAATAAAACCATCAATTGACATGATTTTCAAACTTTGAGATTTAGTTAGAAGGATGGAGAAAAGGGATTTAGAGATTGTTTGGTTGCAGGTTGAATTTAGTATAAATAAGATATAGTAAATCTCGTACAATTGGATTTATCAAATCCAGAGGTGCTTAAATCCTGAAAGTTGTTTGATACGTTAGCAACTAAATTCTCATAAATCATGAAAACTATTCGATAGTCTTAGAAGGATTTAGCTGGATTTATTAGAAGAAACAAATAAAGATAAAGATTAAATTAAAAAAGATACACATGAATATCCAAAGCTTCAAAATACATAAAAAGATGACATTTACATTAATTAATAATCAATTATATAAGTTAATAATTAATAATTTTTTTTGTAAACTAATTACTTATTAAATAAAACTCTCAATAAAGCAATCCCGAGGGGTTTCAATTCTCAAAATGGCATTTAATTGATAAAAATAGCTTACAAACTAAGGAAAATGGGGGTACAACAACATAATGAAATATTCATAATGCCATAATGCCACAAGCATGTTACATTTAATTACAAGTGCTCTAGCTTGTATGGTGATTTGAAACATAACAATTCAAAGTTATAGTTAATATTCTATAATGAACTTTTCAACAAATGATAAAGAATAGAAAACATTGAAAACTTTATCTAAATTAAACTCTAGATGTAAGAAAGGTTATGAAACATAAAAACCCATCAATATACTTTAGTGATTAAATCTTTTTAGCAATGCATTAATATTTACTTTCATCCGATTCACAAATAATCGTTAGACCCAAAATAATTCTCATTGACAAACATAAATATCCTTGTTATTAAGCCTACAAGACAAACTAATTGAAAAACTATTCTATTGTACAAAAAAAAGGACTGCATAATTCATAATTTTTTAAAAGATATAACAAAACATTAAAATATATGTTCATATCCAACGATATAATAATTTCATTTCGGGCTTAAATATTCCTTTCATTATGAACTGTTATGGTATGACTCATATACCATATAGGGACAGACGCTGGAACGAAGCGGAGCAAAGCGGAAGAATTTGTGCAAATCGGGAAGTTACGTTATGTGGGTTGGGGGTGTTGGGTCAACGCCCCACTATACGGTACATGGGTAATTTGGTAATTATATATTGTACTGTAGGGTTTACTCTAGGATTATAAATAAACTTGTTTGTAATTCTAGGTCTTTGAGAGAGCTGAATATTGTATTCTGTATTCTTTCCTGAATATTGAAAAGGAAGTTGCCGCTCTGCTCCCAATGACGTAGACATCTTTGTTGAACCTTGTTAAATCTCTGTGTGTTCTTCTGGATTTGTGTCGTTCTTGGTTTTCTTCGCCCTATTTTCTCAACATGAACATTTTAAAAGACTATTAAACTTTAGAGTGCAAATGAATTTCTTACAATATCCGAGCATATTTGACATTGGCACATGACATGAATAAGCCATAAGAAGCCTTTTCAATAATTAAATAAACATAAGTGGTGTTCAGGTAGAACTATAGATGATAGAGCATTTGAAAGCTATAACAATACATATAAAGTTTATGGCATAACAACAAAAGACGAATATTGCATTTAATAGCTAAAGATGATGCGGATTTAAGTTAATAACAATGATAAGTTTTTAATGTCTCAACATAATTATTTACTCAAAGTGGTATAAGTATATATCATAAATATATGATAAGCACCCCCCATCCACAATAATTCAACCATGTGTTCTTAATACCATATAAGAATAATTCCATGTTGTTTCTATGTTTTTTGCACAAAGTTGCTTGTTGTTGCTCTAAAAAACCTGATCCTAATTCAATAACTCCAAGTTATGCTATCAAACACTGCAACAAAAACGAAGGAATGGAACATCTACTTCCACAAACCTTCTGTTCGAAAGGCCAATGTTAGCAAGGCTTTAAATGACTTCATGGATCATGAAATCTATCATAAAAAGCTTAAAAAGCAAACAAAGGAAGCTTTCCAAAACAAAAATGCAGACCTCATCTCAAATAGCCGCTTGGAAGACTAGTCCTTGGCTTCTTGTAACTCTTCTAAGGGTTATCTTGAAGTCATTGGGGATTTATTAGAGTTATTCTGCGGGGGTTATTGTTTTAGGTATGACTCATATATCAGGAATTTGGAGTCTCTTGGATTTGGAGAGGTGTATCTCCTGAAATGAAGATGTGTGTTTCTTGGTGCGAAGAGGTGTGTCTCTTGGATTAGTGGGTTGGGGGGAGCGATGGCGTGTTTGTAAATTTATTTGTTGGTTTTACCTATAAATAGATGTGTAACTCTATGGGTATGTAACTCCTCTGAAATAGTGAAATTCGCTGCTCGCTCCCGAGGATGTAGGCATCTTTGCCGAACCTCGTTAAATCTCGACGTTCTTCTGGATTTGTGTCGATTCCCGTTTTTCTTCACCCTAAATTTCACAACATATTGAAGTGGAATCGCGAAGGTTATTGGAACGGTTCACTGCACATTGTTATTGGGGGGTTATTAAGGCGTTATTGAAGCGGTTATTGGAATTGTTCTGCAGGGATTATTGAAGTGAAACCACAGAGATTATTGAAGCTGTTTAATGCGCGGTATTTATGAGGTGGGCCCGGTGTAGCACACATGGCTGTATATTACTGGAGTCCGCACATAGAGTAAAATTCACAACACCAAATTTTTCTTCATTTACATATCTCCCACCATAGCTCTCATTTTTTACAAACACAATATCCAATTCACACTCTTCAAAGATATGGAACAGTAAAATCCGCATTTTCATGCATGATTGAGATGCTCTATTTGTAAAATGAGAATTTTGGGTAAGATACATAGATACATAAAAAGTTGGGAGTCGAGCGAGCCCAAGCTCAAGTCGTGTTCGGCTCATTAAAAAATACTACTATTCCAGTTCTGTTCGTTTAAATTTCAAACACAAAAAGTGTGTTCGTGTTCGGCTCGTTTGCTTAGCGAGTCAAACACGAGCTGTTCACGAATAAAAAATCGTTTTGACAACTCTGATCACGTAGTCATAGTATGTTAAGGGTTGAGACAATGTTTAAATCTTATTATTTATATTAAAATATTATTTAAATACAATTTAATAAATTTTTATTCTATTTTTTAATTAAAAATTTTAATTATTTATAAATCATTTTATCTTTAAATATATGAGTAGTACTTCGAGTCAAAATGAGCCTAATATAAACGAATAAATTTTTATTCGTGTTCGGCTCGAGTAAAAAAAATATTTATTTTATTGGTTCCATTAACTTAACTAGAGGACCTAACAAAAAAATTCTTAACCCTAATTAACCCCGCTTTCCTCTTCGTTTCGTACGACCTCTTTTTAACTGACAGAAAGACCCGCTTTCGACTGTGCAGCACTTTCTACGGAGAAGCGCAATGGATATATCTTCATAGAGAAGATTTCTTCAATTCCTTCTCAGCCAAGGAAGAAAGAGAGCTGCTGAGACAGTAATGGCTGCTGTGTCGGCCAGCGTTGCCAAGCAAGCGGAGCTTTCACGCCTCAATGGCAATGCCGCCTTCAAAAAAGAACGCCTAGGAGCCGCGATCGATGCGTACACTGAGGTTTTGTCATCCATTTGCGCTGTTTATTTAGGTCGCATTGATTCTCATGGTTGGCTGGTTTTGTGATTTGGATATTTAGGCTATCACGCTTTGCCCTGATGTGGCTGTGTATTGGTGCAATCGAGCTCTCTGTTATTTTAAGAGGAAGTAATTACTCTCATCAATATCGCCTTTGATTTCTTCTAAAAGTAGGGGTTTCAGGGTTGCTGAAATTATTTGTTTTGGTGTTTTACTGCTTCTGATAGGGACTGGAGTTGAGGAGGACAGTCGAAGAGTCATACAACTGGATAGTTCATCTGTGAAGGTAAGTTGACCACCTTTTTACTTGATTGTTGGCCTGCAACAATATTGGATTATTTTCTTTTTAAGTTTTTTGCTTCTTTGCTGTGGATAGGGGTGTAAATCGAGGCTCAGCTCGTGTTCAGCTCATTTATATTTCGAGCTCAAAAAGTGTGTTCGTGATCGGCTCGGTTTCTTAAACAGCCCGAACCGGGCCTGTACGAGCTGTTCACGAACAAAGAGTCCTTTTAACAACCCTAATCATGTTGTCATAAGACAATAAGGAAAAATTATAGATTTAAAAATTATTATTTATATTAAAACGTCATTTGAATCTAATTTAATAATTTTTATTCTATTTTCTTAATCAATATTTTAATTGGTTATAAATCTTTGTAGCATTGCAGTCAATTAGATTTTTTTAAAATATACTTAATATATATATATAAACTTGATGAGTAGTATTTCGAGCCAAAACGAGTCGAACACGAACGAACACATCTTATTTCGTGTTTGGCTCGTTAACTTATCGAACGAAATTAACGAGCCAAATACGAGCTTCTTAACGAGTCGAACATGAGAAGCCGTTTTGACAGCCCTAGCTGTGGATTGATTTTTTGTGACCGTTTCAGGTGCAGTTGTGCAAATAGTATTTATTTACTCATTTTAAATGGAGGGGAATGGGGGTGACAGCTCGTGGATGGATTACTTATAGATAGATGTTGTTGCCCGTTTTTGTTGCCAAGCAAATTGTGAGAAACGACACTGTGGTTCCACGTTTGCGTGAGGCCGGATATAGGATGGAGTGAGTTGAACGATTGAATATTAAGCCCCATATTGAGATTATTTTTTCTTATGATACACTACTAAAATATGAGTTTTCACAGTACTTTATACAGGCTATTGCAGCGGCAGAAATCCCTGCTATTTTAACTGCAACGAATTTTAAACCACAGCATTTGTTTGCGTTGCAAAGGCTTTTAACAATGATTTTAAAACCGTCAGGGAAGATTTTTAATTGTGATGACTTTTGCAGCGGTTTTAAGGCTATTTTCGACGGATTTGGTGAAGTTTTTTAACTATGATAGCTTTTGCAATGGTTTTAACTGCTGCTAATTTCAAAATTTCTTATTTTAGTTAATTTTTATGATTATACATATTTCAATAAACCTGCTATCACATCTCGGGTCTGAAAGGCGGTTCACCCCGACAACATAGGGCATGGGGAAATGATTTAACCTGTTTTGTACTTTCAAAGAAAGACTTGCATTGCAAATAAAATAAACGAAAATTAACTTTTATTAATACTAAAAATTTCAAAGATACAACTAAGTTGAAATTAAAAGCTAGCTTAATTAAAATAGAAATGATAACATAGAACAACTACGAAGATCCAATAAAGAAAAAAATACAATAACTAGAAATAATTACTAATGTAAATACTCAAAATTGGAAAACAAAAACTGAAAACTAGCTTCTATGGAGACGGTTCTACTGGTGGCTGAATGAAATGTGTTATGCAAAAAATAAGAATGAGTTTGACAAAATCAGTAAATAACAACTATCAATTAAAACATAAACGACAAGAGAATGGAGCATGCAGTATGGATAACAAGTAAAGAAGAACCATTATGCGCGTATGTAATACTGTAAGACCAACAGGAGGGGTAAATATAAATTATGCATCCCCTATGAAACATGCAAGCATTTTCCATCAAATATATTCTTATTATGTTTTCATTTATATTTATATTTATATAGTCGGTTTTATTAGACACCCTGAAATCAAGGTCTAATACCAACCTAAGAAAATCTGACAATTTCCTATAGAGTCGTCACTCTGTTATATTAGGTAAGAAAAACTTCGGTTCTTACACATGCATATATAATAACATAAATTATATGAAAGAAAATTTACATACATATCACTCAATTCTATATATTTATATGTCTAACACCTAAACTTCAATTTTTACATTTGCACTTTCAGTAAAAGTGTAAAAATTGAAATTTGTGTTAGATATGTAAATACATAGAAATGAGTGGTATGCATGCAAATGGCCCAAATATGAAAGTCAACGAACAACAAAAAAAATACATGATTTTTATGAAATAATATCTTCAAAACATCAAAACATATAACAATCTATCAGTTCAGTTCCAATAATTTAGAAATATATATTATATATATATATATAATAAAAATACATAAATTCTACTTAGTAGTAATATCCTCTAAACATCAAAACATCTAGCAGTCCATGAAATAAACTTCCATCAACCTTAGCATGTCGTCAGTATCTCCAAGTTTTCTAGGGTTGTATCCAAGGGCAAGTGGTACTCCAGCTGTATCTCATTCTGAGATGATGAATATCCTCGACGTTCCCATCCTCCACAATCTCCCCTTCGTTGTAGCCGCCGCTAAAATTGTTGTAACCGCCCCAAAGACAGTCTTTTTGATGTGTCCTGCAAACCCATACCTCCCTGTCATCCTTCCTATACTCCCACCAGCCTCTTGCCACCCACCCTCCACCTCCTTGCACCACCTTCTTGCCTATTGAAGGTACCGGACAACCACAATTGTTGTCTTCTTGCAATCGCCTTTCAACCACCCCCTTCCTACCGCACCTCCCTGTTCTCTAGCCGCCAAACATCCTTTTAGCAGTGCACCTCAACCGGTCCTCCTTCCTAGTCGTCCCCCAAAAGTCTGCCCAACCATCAACACCAACCATCTTTCCCTGCAGCCATTTCCCTACCACTTCCCTCACCTAGACATCTTCGCTCCTACAGCCACCCACCACTACCAACCTTCCCTATCATCGCCAACCTAACATACATCCTTCATACTCACAGCTAGCCACAACCACCCTAACACCCTTCTCATCCTACATAACCACCCACCTTTCCCTTTGAAATACATACCTAGTTGAGTTGAGTATTATGCCTATTGTTGTACTTCCATTTCTATGTGGATTGTAATAATCAATTGGCATTTCTAGTAATAATATTTGCATTTCTATTGTTATTTGGGTTAACTTCGGTATCAATGACCAATTGTAGTTTAGAGGCATTGGACATAATAGATGATAATTTGACACAACCAATTATGTTATCTCAGTATGAGTTCAAGCTCATTTTGAAAGGGAAATTCCTTAAAACACATTTGGTTTTGGTGGATTTCGTGGTTTAAGGAACTCTTTCTTATACAATGGTGGCTCATATTAAATGTTTGTTTCAATAGTTTTCTTTGAGGATTAGTCCCTTGATTTTGAGGTGATTAAACCCCATGATAGAGGAATTTGTTTTGTATCTATTAGTTTTTCCGTATTGAGCTTTGTGTTAAGCTCGAGTTTTGAGTTGGAGTTTAGCTTAGTTCAAAGAATGCTTTCGATACAAGATTGATTGAGGTCTGCTTTGGTGATTGTTTGGCTTGATCATGTAAGCCGATTTGAGGTTTGGCAAGTCAATACTAGCTTATTTGATCTCACCTATGAGCTTGATATTTCTCCAGTTTCACATTTGTTTTGCGAACTTATTGACTCCTAGCCCAAGTGGTTGGGATAAGACTAGTGGTGATGGTGACTATCCTTTAGTTTGTTTTGGATATGATCCTAATGCATTGCAACCTATGTTATGTTGGTACTTGAATCATGTTTTTTCATTGCTAACATACATATGCTTAAATAAAAAAAATATCATTGTGGTTTATTACCATAAACTTGAATTGTGATCATTTCTAGTTCTTAATTCTTCTCTCTCCAGTTTTAATAAAATACAAGATTAAACTTTCTTTAAGTTGTACTTAGGACTGTAAACGAGCCGGGCTTGAGCGAGCTCAGGCTTGGCTCGTGTTCGGCGTGTTCGAAATCGACTCGTGTTTGAAAACGGCTCGTGAACAGTGTGTTCCTGTTCGGCTCGATTTAAATATTCGTGTTCATGTTCGGCTCGAAATTTGTTTGTTAAAATTAGATTGAAAAAATAGATGTAGAGTGCTGGATTTGAATCTGAACCAAATGTATGCAAAACAAGGTGCGTAACCACATTATCATAAGAGCAATTACGATTTAAACTTAGATATAAATATATATAATATATTATTATATAAATAATATGTGTAATACATTTTTTTATAAATAATATATAATTTTTTTTTTTTATTTCAAGCTAAAACGAGCTGAACACGAGTGAACAAAGTGTTGTTCGTGTTCGGCTTAACAAAGAGCTGTTCGTGTTAGACTCGTTTATAATTTGAGCTTTAAAAATTTGTTCTGTTCGGCTCGTTTACTTTACGAATGAGCCGAACACAAGCTACTTAACGAGCTGAACACGAGCTGTTCGCGAACAACGAGCTTTTTTGACAGCCCTAGTTGTATGTAGTCCCTCTAATCTAGACTATCTGTGTGGTGTGACTGATATAAACTAGTTTTACAATGCTCAACTTTGTTATTTGACAGGCTCGCTATATGCTTGGGCTTGCATTGTTAGAAGGGAAAGATATTGCTGGAGGTATCAAGGAATTAGAGAAGGTTTGCTATCATATACATGACTACATGTTATTGCATTTTCTCAACGTGAATAAATTCAAGAATTGTCCTCTGTTGGCATAATGCTGTTTAGGCTTTAATTATACCTAAAAGTATGTTGTAATTTGACTTTTCTCATGGATGTTGACATTTTTTCTGAAGTCAATTTTAACGAGTCAGTGAACTTTAACTTTCATTTTTCTTGATGTCTCATCCATTGCTCAACTTCCTCCACATGCTTTATCTTGGTAAGTTTATTGTAAAATCTCATAATTTACGGACCAAATCTTGTCCCAAATTTTCAAATGAATGGTCTTTTTATTACTTTCCTATCTTTATGATAAAAAAACAATTAGAGAAATTTCATTTCCTATCCACAGGACCGAAGCCACAGTTCCTCTTCAATATTTTTGTACACATCCTGTCCCACACTGCTCGTACAAAATTATTAGTTGAGACTTTTACTTTAGTTTGTGTATTGGGAGAGGAAGAAATCCACAATTTTTTTTTTTTTTTTGAAATGTTAACCTTTATTGTTTTGAACTCAGAAACCAGAACTTATGCCACAAAATACAACATTATTTGGTTTTTTAGTTTGTTCATGCAGAAAAGATATCAAAGCGCTTAATTTTATGCACATAAGGATAGCTTTTTTCATCTATTTCTTATGATGACGTAGTGTTGAAAATATGGGCACTGCAGCATTCTTTTTAAATTGCAATTTTTTCCTGGCTTATTCAAAATCAAATTTATTAAAGTTGTCTATTAATATGAGTAATATTACGCTATGATATGTCAGTGAATAATTTGTATTGCTATCTAGCCATACAATACAATAACAACAACAACAAAGCCTTGATCCCACTAGGTGGGGTCGCTACATGAATCCTTTTTCTCCATTGCGTTCTATTTAGTGTCATATTTTCATTTAGTTATAATAAATTAAGATCATTTTTTATACAATAAGCTCAAGTCTTCCTAGGTCTACTT